ATGGGCGCCAGCCCTCTCTGCAGCCCAGCGTTGCCCCTCGGCATGTTCCTGCCGTCGTTTTTTTCTCCCAGTGTTTGGTGCACGCTCGGGGACAGCCCATGGCACTGCCACGGGCGATGATGAGCGACAGCCCTCTCAGACCTATCTACGTGGCAAGCTGGTGGAAAGCCACCAGCTGGGGCTGTGGGGGAAAGGATCCGCAAATATAAACCGCGGGAGAGAGAAAAAAATGATGGCAAGAAGCTGTGTGGGGGCTGCCTTTGGGTGGACATAGCTAAATGTAGGCTGATTGAACAGGATGGGAAAAAAAAAAAAAAGAAAACAAAGAGTTTTCTCCACTTCTGAGCAAAATTAACAGTATGTTGAAAAAAAAAGTAAAACAGACAGAAATGGATGATTTCTTTTTATGAACATCTGACAGTTTACACCTTGAGGGTTAGTGGAAGGATAAGTCAAGTCCTCTTGCAGCGTGTGGTTTTCTCCTCTTCCCCCAGCCTTGCAGAGCTGCTGCAGGTCCTTGGGACAGGGTGAAGAACCAGGTGAAGGGACCAGGTTTACCCAAGGATAACCCAAGGACAAACCCCTCTTGGAGATGAGGTTGGAGTTCAAGGACATGGGAAGGTCGTTAACATGCAAAAGGCTTCCTCCAGCTCCCAAACTCTGACGGGTGGGAGGTCCCAAGCCCAGCTGGTGACACCTCCACCCCAGTTTCTTGGGCAGAGCATGGCATCCTGCAGGAAAATCTGATTTTTCCTGCCTCCCGGGCACTTCTGCAACTGCTCCTGGTCTGAATTTATAGGTGATGGAGCCCCTTGGGGGGCTTGATGTGCCTCCCTGGCATGGGGACAGCTGGCACCTTGCGTGGGTGGCTGGTGGGCTCCAGCATCGTTTCATTGCAGACCCACCCGAGGACACCTCCCGCAGCAGCCAGCCGCTGGGTTTCCTGCTGCCCTCTGGAGCAACGCTGGACGGAGCAGCAGAGGGATTTAGGATGTGGTCAGAAAACCCCAAGGAGCGCAGCTGCGGTGGTTAAAGACATTTTTGTGTTCCCCGGCTGTTTGCTGGAGTTTTTTGCGCCTGCAGGAGGATGGGGCTGGGCTGGGTTAGTTGAAGCGGGTAATGAGCTGGGCTGCCTGGGCTGCCTTGTGCTGGAGAGGATGAGGATGCCCAAACCACCCTCTGCAAGAGCGAGATGCAGGGGGTCATCTCCTGAAAAAAACATGGTAAAACAACCAGCTGGGGAGCTGCATCCATCAATGTCCAAGCTGTTTCTCGAGGGATCTTCTCGGCTGCAGAGCTTTCCCAGGGCAGGAAATCTGCCACCCAGATGGGAGGTGCGAGACTGAGGCAGTGGCTTAGCTTTAGAGGCGGTATTGATTATTGCTGGAATGATGAATATTCCCTCGGGGAAGGGTGTGTGATCAGTAGGAGAGCAAGTGTGAATATCAAGACTTGTCTCATGCCTGCTCTGCTCTCCTGGACATTAACCTGTTTGTGCCTCAGTTTCCCCCACCTGTAGGGTGATGACAAAGACTCGGTTGCACCAGAAGCCATTATGTCAACTTCTCAGGCTTCCACACCTCCTTTTGCTCTAGATGGAAATGACCATTTCAACATATTTTGTGAAAAAACTAGGTTGTGCCGGACAACCCCAGCCTCCTGCCATCCCCATCTGGGAACGCATCCCGTGGGATGGGCTTGCAGGCAAAACACACCCTGGGCAGTGGGGAAAAAAAATCATTCTGTCTCAGCCTCCGTGAGAAAACTGAGGTTAAAACCTCATTTCCCCTGGGTAGAACAGAAGGAGACTGGAAACATCCCAAGAGATGGTGGGACGACACGGGTATGCATTTTGGGGTCCAGGGGAGGGAAGAATTTCAATAATCCTGGGGAAAAGTCCTACGTGGAGCTCAGGCACAGCTTAAACCTCCTTCCCTGTTATCCGGAGGGGGTAAGGACGTGGCGGGTGGGGGGGCCTGCGGAAAGGGCTGGGTCCAGAACGCCCGTAAGGCTGCGTCTGAGGAGCCTCATTGACTTTGGAGGGATTTGCACCCTCGACTGGAGTTCAGCATGTGTCTGAGTGCTTTTGCCGTGTCCAAGCCATAATCCCAGAAATGTTTCAAGTGGGAAGTTGCAGCCTGATGGTGAAATTCTGGGGTTTAAAGCATTTTATTTTTTTAAATCTGAATTTATTTATTTTTGGCAACAGCTGTGCTTTTGGCCATAAGACATTCCTCTCTTCTGGGATGCTGCCCTGGAAGGTTCTCTCCTGCTGCCCCTTTCCTGGGTGCTCACGGAGCTGCTGGAAAGCCGATGAAATGGTCCCAGTCAGGCTCTTGCCTGGTGAAATGGTCCCGGACCCTCTCCCGCTGCTCCTGTATTAAACACTGACCTTTCCATTTGAGCAGAAAATGCCAAAGTCGGGCACCCTGGAGCCTGAAAGGTCTTTATCTCAGAACTGAATGGGGAAATGGTTGCAATCCTGACTCCAGGCTGGGGACGCTGGGGATGCGGGTGTCAGCCCCCATCAGGGCGGTCCCTGCTCGATGGGAGTGGTGGTGGTGGGGGGATAGGGAGTGAGCGGGGATGGGGAGACAGCAAACCTTCTGAAAACCATGACAACAGCTTCCCAGCTCTGAGCAAGTTTCTCTCCAAGCTCAAATTTCAGGCTTCAGTCACTTGATGTGAAATTTATCCCCAATCACCCGTGGGTGCGTGCCCCATTGCTGCCCCATTGGGCCCATGCAGGATGCTCCAGGTCCCTCCACCATCTGTGCCAGGCCCAGAGCACAGCCCCTGACCCTGGGGACCCTCCTGTACCATGGCCAAGATCAAACCCTGGGGGTGATTTTGGCCATCACCTGGTTGCTAAATGAAATCCCTAAACTGGGTCGCTTGCACGGCAGAGCCATCGCTTTCCCTGGCTTTCTCAGTTTCAGGCAAATGGATTCATGTCCTTCGCTATAAACATTCCAGCTGCTCCCCTTGCCTCCTTTTTTTTTTTTTTTTAATTTTTTTTTTTTTTTGGTGTAACATCAGTAGAACTCAGCAAAAATATCTAACCAAATTCTTTTGTCTTGGGGCTGCAGAAGATACCGTGGGTAAGTCGTCAGATTAGTTTAAGTGCTTTCTTTGTAACTTGCTACCTGTGGAATGTCGTACTAAAGCCACGATGGTCAGAGTGGAGCTTTTTGAACAATAAAACAGGGGAAGCGATGAAAGGCAAATTTCTTCCCCCCCCCCCCCAAAAAAAAAAAAAAAAAAAGAGGCAGCAGAGGCCTCAGAGTTAATTTATGTAATATTTCTATTAAAAACAATGTCTATTCGAGACAGCAATTTAAAGCCTATACCCTTGGCTTAAAATATAAATCCAATAAACCTCTATTATGATTCCTCCATTAGGTCAGTGTGATGGAATTTTGTGGACTTCTAAAATAAGACATCATTATTTTTCAGGAATGTTTCATGAATCACAGTCAAAGCCCCTTCATCTTTGCTTGTATGAATTTCAGAAATGGTGCTCTTATAAAATAGAGGCGTTTGCTGAAGCCAGCAGCCGCCTTTCTCCTTGGAGAACAGCATCCTTGGAGCTAAGATGCAGAGCAGAGGAGGCAAATGCTCCTTAGTGGCATCGCCAGCGTGGGCTGGGATGTGGTGAGGCTGAGGCTGGATGAGGTTTGCCCGATTCTTTCCATAATATTGATAAAAAGAGAGTTCCATTCTTCCTGAGAGAGGTTGCAGCACCTGAGGACCATTTTTTTTTTAGTGGAAATATATGTATTTTATGCCTTTCTTCCTTTGCCCATCTTTGTTTGGATGGGGACGTTGGGTGGCACTGGGACACAGACCAGAAAGGGGCAAAGGACAGTCCCCATCCCAGAAACCCCAAAACCTTCCAGACAAAGCCTAAAGCAGGGGCTGAGATTAGAGCAGCCCTCGCATCCTCCCTGAATTTCAGGCGGGCAGGACCATGTTAGCACGAGAGTTTGTTTGTCCCGTCCCCTGTGTGGGCCTGCAACGAGGTCCAGGGGAGACCAACAAAAAATGTGCCCCTGGCCTAAAAATGCTGCAAGTTTCTTCTTGTGAGCTCTACTTCATCTGCCCGTGGAGCATCATCCTCTCTGCTAACAAATCCAGGTCTATGTCCAGGACCATGTCCAGGTCCAGGTCCAGGTCTATGTCCAGGTCCAGGTCTATGTCCATGTCTACGTCCAGGTCTGTGTCCAGGTCTATGTCCAGATCCATGTCCAGGTCCATGTCCAGGTCTATGTCCAGGTCCATGGTGTTGCTGTGGCTGCAACATCTGGATTTGGGCTGGAAGCATCCCAAAAGCACCTTGAAAGCAGGGAGGGAGGAGTTGCAGGTTGGGTTCATGTAGCTTCATCACCTCTGCAGGTCAGAAAGCCACTGAATCCAGGGGTTGGTGCACAGAGAAGTTCATGTCTAGTGATGCTGGGAGATGCTGCCGTTGTTGGTCACTGGGGTTTGCTTGGGGAGATGTATAACTTTGGTATCCCTTGCCACCAGGAGGAAGAATTCATTGACTGGTGGAGCAAATTCTACGCTTCCACAGGAGAGAGGGAAAAATGTGGCTGCTATTTAGAGAAGGGCTTTGACACCCTGAAGGTAAGTGGCTTTGGCTGGTTCTGCATCATTGGACCTGTACTCTCCATGACGTTTTTCCACAAGCTTTGATTTTTTTGTTTCAGTGTTTAGGCTTTTTTTATTCCAGGAGAAAAAAAAAAATAGACAATTTTCCCCAGAGAGCAGGTACTGTTGTTTTTTTTTAAAAAAAAAACCTATTTTGAAAACTCATTTTTCCTTGCAAAAATCCTTTCTGGTAACTTTCCACTTTGCAGCCTTCAAGAAATTGTCACTTTTCTAGATGGCGAAGGAGATGGGGAACTACCACCCTGAGAAGTGTTTGGGAACAAGGAGAAGCAGAGCTTGCTAAGGGAAGGGGAGATTTAGATGCCCTGTTACAAGAAGGGCTAAAATTAACACAGGAACCCAAATAGTTCTAAAGTGGGGGAAAACCTTGCCTGGTCTTAAGGAGAACGTTCCCAGCAGGAAGGTCTCTTTGTCTGATGAAGAACCTTCTGCAAGCCCTTGGCTTGGTCTAGGTCTTCTGCAATGTGCTGTTATTTATTGTAGGGTTGCCAAAAGTCTGTTCTTCATCCCCGTCCTGGGGTGCAGCAAGGGTGACAGATCCCAGGTGGTATTTCCCCCAGACCAAGGAGTTTGGGTCAAGGCTTGTCCAATACTGGTGGGGACACGCTGCTGGTCCCCCTCTGCCCGGGAGCAGTCCCTGCCCTCGCCCCCCATCTCTCCCTTCCCAGGTCTACGAGACGGAGCTGGAGAACGTGGAGGACTTTGAGCATCTCTCTGACTTCTGCCACACCTTCAAGCTGTATCGCGGCCGGTCGCAGGACTCCAGTGATGACCCCTCGGTCGTGGGGGAGTTCAAGGTGTGGTGGTTTCTCTTTCTACCCAGGAACACGTGCTGCTGGGTGGAAGGTCTTGCTGCTGAGTGGGATGATGCCAGTTGAGTATCTTTGGGTAGAACTTCAGGGACAAATGGGCCATAAAAGTAGACCACAGAGCCCAGGTCTGGCTGCTCTGTTCTCTGACAGTGAGTGCTTTGCACGCTTCAAACCCAGTCTAGGCTGTGCTGTCATCCTGGATGAAAAAAAACCAACTGGATGTAAGTGATGGAGCCTCTTCTTCCTCTGGGGCGGTGGTGGGAGCAGGTGGTCTCACCACAGTGGTGCTCAGAGCTCTCCCTTTGGAGGTGTCTGTCCGGTGCAGAGGAGCGATGCATCCTTTGCTCTTTTTCACCTTTAGCCTGTTTGCAAGAGAAGAGAGATTATTTTTTTCTAGCTGTTTTTTAAAAATTCCTGCTCTTACTCAGCAGTCTTCTCCCCCAGACCATACCCACACACTGATTCCTGACACTTCGCTGGGAGGAAATCAGCTCTAATGGATGAAAAGCTTGTAAATTTTTTGCATTTTCTCTTTCCTCCTCCCATCCCTCTCTCAGGAACCAGCTGCCTTGTTCACAACTCATAAATTTGTCCCTGCAGAGAAACTCTCAGACTAAACCTTTGGAGCCTGATTCATATCAAGGCTCCTTCACACCTCTTTAATAGCGTGAAGGCTCAAAGGATGGTGAAGTAGAAGAGATAAAGGGCAAACAGGCTGGAATGTCTCGGTGCAGATGTATAAGAGAGTTTGCATCGATGTTCAGGCAAGGGATGAATGGTACAGGCGGTTCTCCACCCTGGTCCTGCTTCCCTTGTCCATGATGAGTCTGGCAGGACATGGGCTTGTCTAGAAGATGGAAGAAGGTTAGGATCTGGCTCTGTCCCCAGTGTTGTAGTAGCTGTAGATGCCCCATCCCTGGAAACATGCAGTGTCAGGTTGAACAGGGCTCTGAGCAACCTGATCTAGATGTCCCTGCCCATGGCAGGGGGTTGGTCTAGATGGTCTTCAAAGGTCCCTTCCAACCCAAACCATTTGTTGATTCTGTGAGTCTATGCAACCACCCAGCCTGTCGTTCCAAGCCCGCTCACATGAGACCCATCGGCACGTGTGGCTGTGCAAGTGTGGCTGACCACATCTGTCCTTCACAGGGTTCGTTCAAAATTTACTCGCTCCCGGATGACCCACGGGTCCCGGTGCCACCTCGGCAGTTCCACCAGCTGCCGGCCAGAGGACCCCAGGAATGTCTCGTCAGGGTCTACATCATCCGGGCCTTCGACCTCCAGCCCAAGGACGCCAATGGAAAGGTATCGTGATGGGAAGAGCTGGTGGACCTCAATGTTGGCTCATGGGGTGGGCTCCTTCGCAGGTCAGGCTTAGTTGATCAAAGTTTGGGTCTGTGGCTTGAAATTTAGAAACAATGGTGACAGCAAAAAGGAGAAAATGTACCGCTTCCTTCTGCCTCCATTGCAGCATCTGGGAATCCCAGGAGCCAACTCTTCATCCTGAGGGATTTTTCAGTAGGGCTAGTTAAAATAGCTAAATGAGGGTTTTGGGGTTTTTTTTTGTACCTTGGTGCCAAAAGAAACAAAAGTATGTCTTTCACATGGCTGCTTTTTGCAAAGCTTTGCCAGTCTGGAAGACAAATTCAGTGCAAAGAAGAAAATTGTGTTGGTTCAGAAAGAAAATGTTCATTTTATTTCACTTTGCAAAAAAACTCAGGGAAAAATGTCTTCTTAACTCTCTTAACAAAACTGTTTTTTTAATCTGCCTGGTTTTTGAAAATGGACTTGGAATGAAAGTTTTTAATTTCTTAGAAATCTCCCATAAGAGACTCCTGAAGATCAAAAAGGAGAAGTAGAAAAACAAGTTACTTTACACTGAAAATTGAAACCAATCCAGGTTTGACCCACAGCCTTTCCCCCTATGCTGTGATGTCCCCTAGAGCTCATCGTAGTCATGGGGACCCCTGCACGCCCAGTCCATCCTCACACTGCAGACCTTCCCCAAGCAATGCTTTGCCATCCTTCACTTCTTAAAAAAAAATCTACAAGTCAAGGAAAAGTGATGAGGAATTTGGCCTGGGTGTTTTTTCCAGGGAGCACAACTAGCCAATCTCTTTTTTTAATTTTTTTTTTTTTTTTTTTGGTGTGAGATGGGATGGTGGGTGCCTCTAGGTACTGGACTCAAGCTGGGTGACATCTTTTAGATTAAGCTTTTTTTTTTTCTTTCTTTTTTTTTTTTTTTTTTTTCATTCCCCTGACAAAAATGCTGACTGGAGTGAATTTAACCACTTTTCAAATTTATGCTGGTTTCCCGGAATAGTTTTAGTTGTGAGTGAGAAGGTTAAAAACTTGCTAAAAATGTAAAAATATCTGATACAACGTTTAGATGCACAATGAGGCTTTATGTTCAAGTATGCTTCCTTTTTTTTTTTTTTAAAAAAAGTTGTTGCAGCATCTTGGAAATAGAAGGTTTTCAGACGCATTTTTTGGAACTAAATGTTTTTCCTTTGACATTTTAGTCCCTGACATTTGTAAATCTACTTTTGACTAGACCACAAACTTAAAGAATAATGACCTTGATGGAATCCCAAAATAAGTGACTCAGATGAGAACAGTAACATCTTGATGACTTCAGAGCAAGCCCAGTCCATCGAAGAAGTCATAAGGAGTTCTTTTCATGCTCTTTTATTGCTTTTCCATCCCATGGACCTCAGAAGGGCTTGGTCTCTTGTCCCACGCTGCTAACTGGTCCTTTGGTTGTCCTCAAAAAGGAATTGCAGTGCAGGTAGCTCTTGCCAATGGTCAGAGTTTCGTAGCAAGGAGGTGATGGTTGGACTGTCCTATTCTTGAAAACAGGCATTTGTCAAGGGTGGTGGGAGATCCTGCTTGGTGGGACAAGGGGAGGCGGAGTTATTCCTTTGCCGTCAATATTGCTGCGCAATGACTCTTTCTTGTGTTTATTTTCACGCCCATCTTTAGTGCGATCCCTACGTGAAGATTTCAGTGGGAAAGAAATCCATAAATGACCAAGAAAATTACATCCCCTGTACGCTGGAGCCTGTCTTTGGAAAGTAAGTTTTGGTTCAATTTGGAGTCCATGCGGTTTTTTATGTCATACTGAGGGAATATGGCCAGAGCTTCCCATTCCATCCCATTCAAGGCCAGGTTGGACAGGGCTCTGAGCATCTAGTTGAAGATGTTCCTGCTCATTGCAGGGGGGTTGGACTAGATGACCTTGAAAGGTCCCTTCCAACCCAGACCATTCTGTGATGCCCCATGTCCAACCTTGCTCAAGTGAGTCTGGCCTTGGCTCAACCACCGTCCTACCCACCATGGCTTGTGTTCATCTTCTCCCTGGGACTTTTGAGCTGTGGAGCATGGACTGGGTCTGCTCTGTCATCAATGGAGGCGTCAGGAGGGTTGTTTAGACTGGAGATTCCCTTGGGAAGGCATCTGCCTCATCCCAGTGGTGGTAGAGAGAGTCTGGGGAAACTCTGCTCCTCATTTAGGCTCTTTGGTTAAAAGTCTGAAAAAAAGACATGATGAATGGAGGCCTGTTTGATTAGGCTGTGGCATGGGACACCTCAAAATCAGACGCCCTGCAAATTATCTAAAAACATGATATGGGCCGGTTGAGTTGTTTGCTGTGGAGCAGGGCCACAAACTTCTGAAAAAAAGGCAAAAGATAACAAAGATAACATTGTTTTCAGAAAAAAAGTGTTAATCAGAGGTAGAAAGCACCATAGGGACCAGGCAAAGCAGAAGAAGGTAGAGGAAACCCTGGTGCTCAGCCTGCATGTGCTGGTAGGACTTTTGTCTCCCAGAAGAGCTGAGATTAGATGGAGAGGGTTAAGCTTCAGCACAAACAGGGGTCAAGTACTCCACATGATGTCCAGCTGGTTTTCTTAGGTGCCAGCTCAGGGTCTCAATGTTGTGACACCTTCCCAACCAAGCAAGATGGAGAGGGAGGTACGCTGTCTGGAGGGACGGAGGAAAACGGACAGGGATGGTGAGGGTGATCCTGGTGAGACCCTGGGGGACAAGCTGCTTCCTCCTCTTCTACCAAATGGAGATAGAATCACAGAATGGTTTGGGTTGGAAGGGACCTTCCAGCCCACCCAGTGCCACCCCCCTGCCATGGGCAGGGACACCTCCCACCAGCCCAGGTTGCCCAAAGCCTCATCCAGCCTGGCCTTCAACCCCTCCAGGAATGAGGCATCCACAGCTTCTCTGGGCAACCTGGGCCAGGGTCTCCCCATCTTTCCTGGAGTTATGCCCCCCAGAAGTTCTGCCAGAAGGTCTCCCTGGAGATTTCTCTTCTCCAGGCTGAACAGCCCCAACTCTCTCAGCCTGTCCTTGCATGGGACATACTCCAGCCTCTGACCATCTCCGTGGCTCTGCACAAAGGGATGGCAGCTCTGCCTTTCCTGCGGTGAATGCAAAGTGATTGCTCCCCATGGAGCACGAGGTCTCTGGTGGGCCAGGACCTACTGCCCTGTCCCAGAGCCCGCAGCCAGACCCAGCCGAGCTTGGCTTGGCAGAGCAAGTCCTCCTTCGCCCAGCCTGGCTCCTGGCCAGAGCCCGTCTAGACAGCGCGCTGCACCTCCCACCGGGTCTTTAAATTCAAGATGTAAAACTGAGGTTCTGGCTGCTGGCGGCTATTAAACCTCTAGTTTCACGAGCTTTTCCCTGGGCGGCTGGCGGCCGTCCAGCTTTAGCTAATTACTTTCTGCTGACCCCAGTTCCTCCTGCACTCTTAATTGGTGGCATAATCACTCACTTCCCCTCCTTAAAAGCTGCTGCGGGGTGGGTGCTGGCGGTGGGAGCGGCTTCCCCCCAGCGTCGCCTGCCTTTCGGCAGCAGGTGGAGGGGTTCCTGGTGGTGCTGGACCAGACCTGGACTGTCCTGCTCACCCCGTTGTACCCGTTCCATGTCGCTGGCATCCATGAGCACCGCTCAGGTGGGATCAGGGTGTTTTGGTGGGGTCTTGGTGCTCTGTTTTGGTGTGGTCTTGGTCCTTGGGCTCTTGCCGTCCTCTGTTTGAAGATGGAGAGGAAGGTTTGCTCTTGCTTGATGTTATGTCAATGTGTGGACTGTGGTGCAATGATGGCAGAGGAGATGGCGCAGAAGAAAGGTGTGGATGATGGGGAAAAGAGGACAAGTAGGCTTTGGGGGGTCAGTCTCATGCTGACCACAAGCTTGGCCCAGGCAGGCTTGACTCCTGCTTCAGACGTTTGCTCTTTGGGCGTAAAGAGCAGATGGTTTTCCAAAGCTGCCATTTCTCCCCCTTTCAAATTCCATGGCAATGATGATTTCTGACTCTCACCTGCTCCTCTTTTCCCTGGATATTGCAGTGGCCACCATCATGTCCAATTAGCAGATGGAGAAAATAGGCAGGGGCAAAGTTTGCCTGAGAATAATTCAATCAGGCAAAACCAAACCCAGGGCACGTTTGAGTAGTTGCATATTCACAAGCTAAGCCAGTACAACACAGCACCAATAGTACTGGACCAAAGTGACAAAGATGCACAGTGGATATACTGTCCTTCCCAGCACCGGTGGGTTGGGACGATGTGTGGGTCCATTTCCCACGAGGCTCTCAGCACCATGAACTTCCGTCTCATGGGGATTTCTTGGCTCCCGTCATGCAGGATGTTTGAGCTGAGCTGCACGCTGCCCCTGGAGAAGGACTTGAAGATCACGCTCTACGACTACGACCTCCTGTCGAAGGATGAGAAGATTGGGGAGACCGTCATCGACCTGGAGAACCGGTTCCTGTCAAAATATGGGGCGCGCTGTGGCCTCCCCCAAACCTACTGCGTGTAGGTACCTCTGTGGGCTCAGGCAGTGGGTCTCCGGGGCTGTGGGGTGCCGAGCTGGCTGTGGGGACCAGGGTGATATCTTATCAACCCATGGGTCTGCTGGCCCCGGGCTGTCCCAGGGGGACCTGACCAGTGCTGGCCTTCACTGCAGAGGTTTGTCTAGGGGGGGAGATTCACATTTGAGGACCTTGAGCCCTGTCTCTCCTCCAGAAGTGTGAAATGCTTCAAATAACAGAAACCTCCTTGGGGAGAGCCTGTTCTGTCCCTCGTGCCTCTTGGGCACACTACGGTGAGGACACCCCCCCATGCATGGGGCCAGCTGAAGGGTGGTGTGGTGGTTCTGGGGGTCTATCTGGGTGGGCCGTGGGACGTGCAGCCCTGTTCGTCAGTGAACACAAGACCCGGAGTGAGCTGCACCTTCATCTGAGCAGCCCTCCTTGGTGGAATGCCTCTGTGTCCCCCTTGTTGGGGCTGGAAGACGTTTTATGATTTGTTGAGCTGCTCTTTTCCCTCCTGTTTGGTTTCAGCTCTGGACCCAACCAATGGCGAGACCAACTCCGTCCCTCCCAGTTGCTTCACCTCTTCTCCCTGCAGCACAACTACAAGGCTCCCACCTACAAGTCTGACCGGCTCATCTTCAGGGAGCACGAGTACGTCCTCTCTGAACTGGGTAAGGCAACTGGGCTGCTTTGGGGCTGCAAATAGAATCATAGAATCATAGAATGGTTTGGGTTGGATGGGACCTTAAAAATCATCCAGTGCCACCCCCTGCCATGGGCAGGGACACCTCCCACTAGCCCAGGTTGCTCAAAGCCTCATCCAGCCTGGCCTTGAACCCCTCCAGGGGCGTTCAAGCTTTTCTGGGCAACCTGTTCCAGTGTCTAACCACCTCCAGATAGCTTTCCTTTATCCAGAGCAAGGGATGGCATTGGAGGTCATGAACACACCATGATGGGGGATTATGGTGGAGGCCAGAAGTGGGTGATGGGCATGTCCCCATCCTCTTCACCTGGCTGCCCAGGTTGGCTCTGCACCTTTCCCAAAGTTGGTTCTGCACCTTTCCCAAGGTTGGCTCTTCCCCAAAGGTTGCGGGTTGGATCTGCACCGAACGCCGGGGTTGAACCCAGACCCACAATCCAGCCACCTTAACCTTGGCATCCAGGGAGGCTTCAGCCTGGTCTTCCAGCTGCTGCTTGGACTGGAGGAGCCATTGTGCCGTTTGTGTCTCTGTGTTTCGGGGCTGGAGTCACTAGAGGGAGACAATATCATACACACGGTGCCAGCGGATCACACCGTGGCTCACGCCTTGGGACACGTGCTTGAGCTGGAAGTGCAGAGTCACCCTGTGCCAGCAAGGAGAAAGTATCACCGGGCATTGGGCAGGCATTTTCTTGGCACAAAACCCCACCAACGCTGGCACCTGCAATATCCTGGGCATCAACTTATGCCTGTCTAACTGGCATCCTTGGGGGAAGAAGTTTGCCTTATAGAGAAAACTGCCTTAAGGCATGGGAAGGGTGTTTTGGCCCAGGGAGGAGGTGAAACCCCACCATAAATGGCTCAGGAGCTGTGGTTTGACTTTATTAAGAGCACTACAGTACTGCAGAGCCATCAAGGAGGACCTGAGGCATCAAGTCAGGACTGTTCCCTCTCCCTGCTCTTGGGAATCACGGCACAAATTCATGGTTCTCCTCTCAGGAGGAGGAGGAGGAGTGGGGAAGCAAGGGCTCCTTTGCAGCCTCTCGTTCTGCAAAAGGTTTCCAGCGAGGGCTGGAAAGGTGTTAAACCGAGCTGGGTCTTCCCCCCTCTCCCAGCCCCTGCCTTTCACCTTCCTCTGCTTTAATGGCAGTCGGTTCAAAAAACAGAACAAAGTCTGATGCTTGACCTCAAGGAGATCTGGAAACCAGCTGTGTTCGCCGAGCAATGTCAGATCTGAACCTGGCAGTATAAAGTGAAGCTATTAAACGCGAGAGCATGGGTTTTACAAGCCCTGCACCCAGACCATTATTCCATAACCCCCACATTTGTTGTTTTCTGAGAGAGGCTTTTTCTTTTTCCTGTGCATACACACACACACACACACACACACGCCAGGTTTCCACTGCTTGGGAAATAGCCCATGTGTCTGAAGTTAACCACTTCAAGATATTGCCAAGAAAGGAGCTGGGATATATCACCTGAAAGTTGCAGAGCTGTAATAATATTTATGGAGTACATTTCATTTCAAAAGGTCCTTGAAGGTGCATGGCCTCGAGACGCCGTGGCTGCGAGGCAGAGTCTTGGGGGTGATGTCCTCCACCAACCCCAGCGTGGCATGTGGGGACAGGGACATGGGACAGGCTCAGCCGAGACCACACTGGCCATCCTCCATCCCTGGGTGGGACAAGGGATCCCGAGGACTGGAGCAAAAATGTCCATTATTGGTCCATTATTGGTTGTTCAGCCTGGAGAAGAGAAGGCTCTGGGGAGACCTTCTGGCAGAACTTCTAGGGGGGCTCCAGAAAAGATGGGGAGACCCTGGCCCAGGTTGCCCAGAGAAGCTGTGGATGCCCCATCCCTGGAGGGGTTGAAGGCCAGGCTGGATGAGGCTTTGGGCAACCTGGGCTGGTGGGAGGTGTCCCTGCCCATGGCAGGGGGTGGAACTGGGTGGGCTGGAAGGTCCCTCCCAACCCAAACCATCCTGTGATTCGATGTGGTCCTTGCACTCTTTCACTTGCTGGGGTCTGGGGTGGGGGACACTTGCACGAGGCTCCCCGCAGGTCCGTGTCCCATCACACGGTGGTTTGCTCCCATGTCCCACTGGGAAGGGGTTGCCCTGAGCCCTGGGGGATTTGTGGTGATGGCAGATTTGCAAACGGAGGCTGCACACCCCCTGCTCACTCCTGGCTGTGGCGAGGATGGTGGGCTCGTGCTCACTCCCTTGTGGGGCGATCAGAACCCAGCCCTGCACAGCCGTGGCGTGGTGTAACGCTGCTCTTTGTCTGCTCTGTGGCAGAGGACAGCAAACCCCTGAACCCCCACCTGGGGCCGGTGGAGGAGCGCCTCGCCCTGTACGTGCTGCGGAAGCAAGGGCTGGTGCCGGAGCACGTGGAGACGAGACGTCTGTACAGCCCTCTCCAGCCAGAAATCGAGCAGGTGGGTGGTGTGGCATGTCCGGGACCAGACCAAGAGCATCATCTCCTTTCCATCCAATGCTAACATTTTAATCAGCATTTGCTCACAATTTTTTTTTTTTATTTTTGGGAAAGCCATTTCTGCTCTCAATGTCTAAATGCAGAATTCTATCATGGTAACGACACTGCTGGCTGCTTTGGCAGTGCCTCAGCCTGATTTCTGCAGCACCAACCCTCCCTTGGAGGTGTAAAGTGTTAGCACCATTGCAGACTGGATGTTTTTAAGCCAAATGCAAACTAAAGGGACTTCCATCCAAAACCGATCAGAATCCAGCTATCTGTATTTAGCCCAACCCCTTTCTCTGATTACCGTATATGTGTAGTTTATGCGTTTGGATCAAAAAACACTGCTTCCCAAAGAACAAAATGATCAATTATCATCTGTCGTATGCGTTCCAGTTGCATTGCAAAGGCAGTTTCAAGGGATGGGCTCTGCAGCTGCTGTAAATGTGCACAGCCCCGACCCGCACCGGTTCAGCCGTTCCCCTTCTGCAGTTCATAGAATCACAGAATCACTAAGGTTGGAGAAGACCTCAAGGATCATCAAGTCCAACCGTAAACCCAACACCACCTCACCCATTTTAACCCCACCACCTCTCCAGCGGTGGGAGAGCTGTCAGCAGAAGCAAATGCCCTGGCAACTACTCGAACATCTTTTCGTGTTAATTCACCCAGCACAAATGATGGTTAGAGGCAGGAGATGGCTGCTGTTGGGTGACCGGTGGGTCTGGGCTGTTCTTACAGGTGTCACGGTCTTGTTGGACCAGCCATGGAGACTAGGATGGGTCCTTCATGTTGGACCAGCCATGGAGGGTCCTTCCTTCATGTCCTGGGGTTGCATATGGACAGAGCCATCAGGGTCTGCTCTGCACTGGTGCTTTGGACCAAGAGCATCCATAGGGGTGATGCCGGGTGCAGGGTGTTGCTGTGTGACTTGATACATTCAGGGCAGTTCCCAAAAGCGTGGCTCTGACCCGCTGCAAAGCCACAGAACAGGCTGGCTCTATCAGATTTGGGCTTTTTTTTTTTTTTAAAAAAAAAAGAAGTCAGATTTGGGCTTTTAAAATTTTCTGCTGAAATGGAAGATTTTCCTGAAAAAAAGCAAACAAACCACAAACCCCTCCGTGATGGGCTGATTGTCAAAGGACCTTTTTTTTTTTTTCTCTCAACCCTTGAGACTGCACAATAAAATATTTTATTGGCGCCCATTGGTGTTGTACAGTAAAAGAAACCACCTAAAAACCATCACCGGGAGATTTCAGTTTTTTTCTCCCTGGAAGGGTTTTGAGAAGGTGGAATTAGATTCACCTTTCCTCATCCTCCACTCGCATGGTCAGAAACCCATAAACCAACTGTCCAGCTGGTGACAACTGGTGACACTGTGGAAAACAAATGAGGTGCTTCCTTCTCCAACGCCTCCTGTGGACCTAATCTTCAGTCTGTCTCTAGGTAAAGGTGGTCAGCCATGGGGAGTGAAGCCAGAGTGCGCCTTCAGCTTGTCCAGACCAAACTCTTATACATCGCAGGCCATTAACATATACCAAACTATCACTAAGATAATTTTAATAGAATACTAAATGACACTTTTCCATTAAAGAAACCTTATTTTTCTACTAATGGACACTGGAGCACTTGATATTTTCTCTCTCCATGACTAGATCTTGCTGAGGAGGTGAAGGTAACCCACTTAGGAGACTCACCAGGCTTCACGTGTCTTTCTTTCCATCCAGGGAAAGCTACAGATGTGGGTGGACCTGTTTCCAAAATCTCTGGGTCAGCCTGGCCCCCCTTTCAACATCACGCCACGCAAAGCCAAGAGGTGACTTGTTTCTCATTTCTTACTCGTTGGGGTGCTGATTCCAGCACCTTCCATCTGCGAGGGGAGAGGAGAGGGGTTGGAGATGTCCGATGGGGAGGGGTTCACCTGCCCAGCTGAGGATCATCTGTGTGGGCTTGTCTTCAGAGAAAGATGATTCACATCTTAGCTCCTCCAGCTCACTAGCTGAGCAGCATGGCCAGGCTCTCCAGGTGGGCTCTAGACCAAGATTTTCACCCTTTCACGCTGCTTTTGTTCATGGTGACCATCCAGGTTCTTCTTGCGCTGCATCATCTGGAACACCAAGGATGTCATCCTCGATGACCTCAGCATCACCGGCGAGAAGATGAGTGACATCTATGTCAAAGGGTAAGCCACCCAGCTCCTGCCTCCTCCAGGTGCCGCAGCCCAAAGGCGCAAGAGCAGCAGTGAAGGGGTTAACCTGGCCCTTGCATCCACATTGCTGTGGTAGACATGGACCCCCACTGGGATGGAGGGGCCGTTCACACCTCTCCAGCTAGGATGGATCCAGCTTCTTGGCAGCTTCACGATGTCCATTTTTTCTTGACATCTCTGACAGCTCGATGCTTACGTGCCAATATTTACATTTCGAGAGATAAGATGTGGGGAAGAGAGAGGTGCACGTAGTCTACGTTTCCACTGCCGCCTCCTTCCCAGCTCCCTCCCGGGACAGCTGCGGGCTTGTTCCATGTACATAGGTTGGCTTGTTTGCATAGCTGCTTTTTTTTGGAATTCCCTTTTTTTTCCTTGAAACACACAAAAATGTGGCAACCAGCAGTAACTCCTCTGGCACATTCCCTTCCCTGCCTGCCTCCGGTTAAGTTTTATCTTGTGTAAAATGGTGCAATCCCAGCCAAGGGACTTACTTATTTTGTGCGTTCTTTGGATTTATGGGCAGGAAGAGGTAGGATTTTGAAACAGACTGTAAATCCCCTTTTTACAATCCCAATTTTCCTCCTGTAAATCCAGAATGCACGCTGCTTACCTGGTATTCGCATCAAGTGCATTGTTATCAGCTCCAGCTAAGCTGCTCTGGGCACTTTGGGGCTCTGAAATAGTCGTGCTTGTGGGGTGTTATGGGGAAAGTGAAAGCATCCAGTGCTTGCTGATAGCCCTCTCCTGCCTTTTAGCATCCCCAATGACCAAGTGAATCTCACAGGGCTGTAAATGAATTAAAAATATTGCTCGGCGTCCTCACCTTCTTCCCCCAAATGGCTGCAACGTTCGCATCTCTGAATAATCCTGTTTGGAGGGAAGGCAATAGTCCTTCTTGTGCTTAAGCATCAGTCCTACAGACAGGGGCTCCTGTGGGCAAAGTGACCTTTGCCCCATGGTGTGGTGCTGCTTTGGTGGGGACCGTTCCTTCCATCCGCCGCTGCCTCCTGAGCTGGGGCTGGAGCCTACCTTAGGGTGAACTCAATGGATAAGGAGCTTCTACCTGTGGCTGGATCACAGGGTGGTTTGGGTTGGAAGGGACCTTCAAGCCCATCCAGTTCCACCCCCTGCCATGGGCAGGGACACCTCCCACTAGCCCAGGTTGCCCAAAGCCTCATCCAGCCTGGCCTTGAACCCCTCCAGGGATGGGGCATCCACAGCTTCTCTGGAACCCAACACTGAACCAGGTCACATGGGAGGTAGGAGGTTCTCACTCATCGTCTTGCAAGTTTTTCAAGATATTTTCAAGGTAGAACCAGTACTGCTTTGAGCCAATTGGATTAGAAGTTTCCGTAGTCCCCTTCTAACCAAGCACCACTACTAAGATTTGTGAAATATTATGGGGCATCTTTAAAACTCATCTGCGTCCCCTTTTGTGTTCCCAAGTGAAAGGATGGCCTGGGTCCTCCAAGATCTTACGCTCATGCTGAGCAAAGAGGGAGGTGCGTAAGTTTTGAGAACGAAGTCGACTCTTAAGAACCTAAAATTGCCTCTGGATATCACAGATACCTTGAGTGGCATGGATTCAAAAAATACCAGATGAACTGACAGACTGAAAAACCCTCCAGGCCTGTTAAGTACAACAACATTATTTATATCTCAGGAAATCTCTGACCTGCAAATCATTGGAGTCTGGAGAGGCGTGCTGGAAAGGTCTCAGGAGATGTTTGCCCTAATCCCTTGGACATCTGCTGTTGGCCCTGGTCAGAGGCAGGATACTGGGCAAGACGAGCCTTTTTTTGGTCACCGCAGCCATTCCTACGTTATGTTTTTCATTCTGGGGCACTGTGACTTGAATGCTTTTGATTTCTGCATCTCCTTCCTGCAGTGGAGAGGATGCAGCAAATCTGCAAGAAAAAAAAAAAAACCCAAGACATGCCAAAGAGGCATCCAAAGCAAACCATGGATTTGTCCTTTTGTTTGCCTGCAAGGAGAGGGCGCTCACACTGTGTCCATCCCTACCAAGCTTTGGGGGATGTGGATAAACACACGGGCTTGCCATTTGTATCCTATCAGAGCAAATCAAGTAATCCAGCCACAGTTTCAGTACTAGCGTAACCTCAGTTCCCATTGCCACCAAGCCCTCGCTGTCCACGGAGCACATGTGCGTATGATGTGTACTGTAGGATGAACTTGAGTAGACCTCCCTTTCCTGTCTCCCACAACGCACTTGGGGTGGGTCATGTGCTCCTCTCCAGCACTGGAGAAGAGGGAATCTTTTGTATAGCTGGGCAAAAAAATCCGTATTTTCAGTTTAAGTGAAAAACAATCAAACGGGATAATTGTTTTCATTAGAGGTTCCTTCTGAATCTTCTGGCTTTCCTCCAGAAAGGCTCTAAATACACAAATGGATGTGTTCTATTGTTTTGTTTTGTTTCGTTGATTGCTGAAGACTGAAAAATCTTGTGACAGAATGAAAACCCGACAGTTGCAAAACTCACAGCTGGAAAAAAATAGTTGTTACGGAAAGTTTTGAGTTTGCCCCTCGACTGGTTGCAGAGTGACCAGAGCAAGCTCCTGCAGACCAGGAGGAGAACTGTGCTGCGAGGACCTGGGAGCGGCTGGGGACCACCCTGGCCACAGCAGGGTCTGGCCACTCTGGGATTTCCCTGGGGAAGAACTTCTTGGCCATTTAGGACTTTGAAATCATAATCTTTGAAAAACTGACAGAGACTAGAGGGGAAAAAATGTCCCCTTGAGTGTGGTTGCCTCATCAACAGGACTGGTATCAGGCTCATGCCAAGGTCCGTTTGCTGGAGTGTCTGCAAAGGGGAAGGAGCGCTCACCAAGACAGGTTAGAAGGTGACACATGCTCAGGGATGGGTAAGTGACAACTTTGAACCAGAGCTTAGGATGGTGCTGAGTCTTTAAAACATCCATAAAACTCAAGCTGGTTGCAGAGCTTCTCAAGCTGCTACCTCCAGCACTGGCTCATCTCCCAGCACTGCAGGGACTGTTGCATTCCCTCTCAAGTCTCCAGGCTATCCCTACAGATAGCAGCCCAAGGCGTCCACAGGGATGAGAGACATTTTATTACCTGCTCACAGCCTCTGTGATGTTGAGTGAACTCCAAAATCCTTGGTGAGTTTCTAGTTTTTCATGCAATATGTTTGCATTTTGCAGCTGGCTGGTTGGCCATGAGGAGAACAAGCAGAAGACAGATGTGCACTACAGGTCTATGGGAGGAGAGGGCAACTTCAACTGGAGATTCATCTTCCCCTTCGACTATCTCCCTGCTGAGCAAATGTGTTACATTGCAAAAAAGGTGAGCGTTCCTGGACAGGTGTTTCTACCTTCTCACAGGAATTCTGGGGTGATATGTGCTGCATGGTCCAAAAGCTGCACAACTGCAGCACAAATGGAGCTATGCCAGGCTCGGTCTTACCATTGTGTTGGTTGGAACACAAAGCTGTGAACAGGTGGGGAAAATGGTTTAAAAAAAAAAATCCACATTTTGAATACGACATTTGTGGGGTCAGAGTTAGAGGTGGCTTTGTATAAAGAGTCTGGAGAGACTGACCCCCCCAGGAAAGACTCCTCTGGACTGGAGGAAGATGAATATTGGTACAACAGTGTCAAAGTACTCGCCAAGTTGCATGGGTCTTCCAAGTTGCCTACTCAACGACAGAGTTACTCCAAAGATAGAGATAGCATTGGCCCGGGGATGGTTTGGTGTGCACCTCTGGTCTCCAGCATGGCATACCGGGTGTCGTGCTGTTCAGTAACTTCATGGAAGGGCTAAAGAGCGGTGAAAGCAGGAGCTGCCTCCCAGTGCCTGAAGGGGTAAGCAGGAGGGTCATGTAGGGGAACGTGGATTGGGATGTGCCATTGAGGCAGAGATGGGAGAGAAAATCTTTGGTTTGGGATTCAGGGTAGAGATGCTCTTGATCTAACAGGAGAACTGGTTTCTCATCTGGGGAGTCAGCAGTGGGTGTGATTTTAGTCCCCTCATTCCTACATCTGTAGCTGGCAGTTGCTCCTGGTGTTCCTCAGATAAGTTAACACACTGTGATGCTCAGATGTGGACTGGGAGTTGCATGGAGGGAAGGAAACAGGGAAGGGGTTGGGGTGCATACATGGAAAACCGCTGGTGAAGGTTGGGCTGGCTCTCAAGGAACAATTTAAGGGAGATCTATTCACTTAAATCTCATGTGAAAGAGTGGTCAGACATTGGAACAGGCTGCCCAGGGGAGGGGGGGAACAGGCTGTCCAGGGAAGTGGTGGAGTCACCATCCCTGGAGGGGGTCAAGAAACGTGTAGATGTGGTGCTTGGGGGCATGGTTTAGTGGGTTGGGTGGGGTTGGGTTGGCAGTTGGACTTGATGATCCTTGAGGTCTTTTCCAACCTTAATGGTTCTATGATTCTATGATTCTATGCTCATCATCTGGAGATGAGGAGGAGCATTGTTGGGTCTGTGTGGACAGCAGGGTCAGCCCCTGCTTTTGAGACTCGGTCCTGTTTTGCGGCACCTCCCTGAAAGCTCAAACCCCTTCAGCCACCCAACCTTGAGTCTTCATCCCTGCTCCCTGCCTGAAAGCTGTGAACTCAACCTCGGTGCTCGTTGAATACGGGGTGCCCAAAGACAGTGGGACCATCGACATCCACAAATCTCACCTGGGACCCCCATCCCGGTTTGTTTTGTGGGGCCAGCGGGGTCCCAGCATGGTCTGGGTTGGAACTGGTGCTTTGGCGGGGAAGATGCTGAGCACATTCCCCATCCCTCAAGCCAGATGATCTCCACGAGGAGGCCGAGCTTCAAAATGAATCGCTGGATAGTTAAAGTGATTGACAGGATCATAGCTGTGCCCATTTCACGCTTCATGTTAAACAAATCAAAAGTACAGTGTGTACTACATTCAATTATCCCCCTTTGAAAAAGCAAAGACCCCCCTATAAACCGTTTAAGAAAATACATCCCACTGTGCTGATATTGATTCTCCTCCGACCACATGTCTGCCAACACTGTATCAGAAAATAAACAGCTTGTAAAACCTCTCTGTAAAGGAAAAAATAATGAATGAAAAGCCATGCTTTGCATTTGTGGGACACATTCCGCTCTGGCGATTTTTGATCTCGCCATGTGCTGTTTGAACTCCAGGTTCATTACTGCTGCTGTAAAAGCCCATGCACCGAACTTTAAACGCAGGCGATGGAAAGTGGAATTTAAATCAAAACGGTCAGATGGCAAATTCAGAGCTGCTAAAAGCCACCTGTGCCCAACCTTGCTGGTGTCGGCCCTCCGAGAGCTTTTCATCTGCTCTCCTTTGTTTGCTCCTCTTGCCTCCTCGCAGGCTGGAGCTCCCTTTGGCGTTATTGCAGGATGAACCTCAGGAATGGGTCACCCCAACCCAGATGGCAAATATTCTTCCAAAAGAATGTTTTCCCCTGGGCAGCAGGGTCTCCACGGTGTTTGGTTGTCATCTGCAGGTCTGGGGGGAGTTGGGAGCCTGCAAACCCCCGAAAAACCCAGGTGCCATGTGGTGGAACCGGACCCTGGAGCCTTGGGATGGCCACCAGTAGCCAGGATAGTTTAATCCTTGCCACAGCACTGGAAGTTTTGGGAACTTCAATTCCAAAGCTTGAAGGTGCTGGGGTTGCTTGGGGTTTGAAGGCTTCGGTCTTCCCACGGGGCACCTCAAGGGAAAGCAGGAGCCTGTAAATCCTGCAAGCATCGATTCGACGTACAGATTCAAGTGTAGGGTCCTATTCCTGCTTTTCGAAACATGTTAACCATTTCAGAATGTATTTTCACCTGTATCTTCTCTTACTGCACTACAGTTTTAAAGATTTTGATTCTTCCTCTGAAAAAGGAATTTACCCCATTCTGAATTTTAAAAAAATCGCCACGAAAAAGGCAGTTAATCTTTGGGACAGTTCTTCTGAAAATATATAAATGCATGTTTCTTTAACATCCTCTCTCAGCATTTTTTCAGAATTTCCTTCTTCTGTTCTCACTTCTTTTTGTGCCATCTTTCTCTAGCAACCACAGACAAGTCAAGCCATGTTGTTGGCATGGCCACAGCACACTTGCAACTTGCCGAGTCCTGCAAGAAGATGATTTTTTAGATTGCAAATCCCACAGTCCTTTTGGTGGAAGGGGCAATACCCAACGCATGTTGGAGTGCTGTTATTTTGTGGGGGGGCGGGGCTAGGGCAGAAAGGTAGATTCAGTGCCCGGACATGCTTGCATGGAATTGTGTCTTGACTTCCATAGGGGAGGAGCAGGTGGGTCCGGGTCATAGAATCCTAGAATCATAGAATGGTTTGGGTTGGAAGGGAACTTAGAGGTCATCTAGCACCCCATCAGAGGTCCTGGATGAGTACGATGCCCTGCTGCCATCCAACAAACGAAGAGCAGATGTCTGCAGGGCTTAAACTTTCGATTAGGTCTAAGCCTGGCAGGTCTTGGCTCTTGCAGACAATGTCATCAGATGATCATGGTACAACCAGAGTCTATCAGGAGCAATGCCGAGGTAGGCTGGATGTGGATCACATTTCACTGGGCATCCAGTCAGAGAGCGCTCAGCTCCCGTGTCTGACGAGTGCTGCAGAGGTGGAAAAATGCATGAAATCAATTTTGGAATGTTCAGCTTACAGTGCCAGCTACAGCGGTGGCTGAATGTAGCTGCCAATTCTGAATTCTAGAAGTCCTCTAGGGCAGAAAAAGCTTGACGTTGAATGTCTAAGCAAATGTCATCTGCATAAATGAACACTCAGGGTAGAATTTCAAGAGCATCTCAATATACAAGTTAAAAAACATTGGTGCTTGAGTGGACCTGGCAATAAACCACTAGGTTGGCACTTCCAAGACCTTGCTGGTTGGTTCATGTATCATCTAAAAAGTGGTGCATAAAAGACATTCCAGGAGAGGAACACAGTGAGTCTGGGAGCATTGTTGGCAGTTTCAAATCTGGGTCATGCCATGTCATTGGCAGAAACCCGACCAAGGAACATAGCTGTTGTCTTCAGACTTGTTCTGCTACTAGACTTTGGGGTTAGCTGTCAACAAGAAAATTAAGTATTGATGCCAGAACACAAAATATTCCATTTTGCAAAGACAAAGAGAGCCACTGGAAGAAGAAACTTCTTCTTCTGTAGAAGCAATTGCAAGCAACTGTCTGGTTTATTCGGTGGGAAGGTTGGGGCAGCTGTGGTGAGGCTCTTCTTCATCTGGTTTATTCCACTTTGTGGTCTCAATGAAAGGGGCCCATCCAAGATTTAAGCAGATTAATTGCAACCTACCTGGGCACAAACACACACTGACTTTGCGTTGGAGGCCTTTGGACATCTCGCATCTGGCAGCGATGGGTGCGTGCAGCTCGCATGGCTGGAAGTAGTGGTCCTGTAGGATAATCCCAGGAATAATTCTGTCGCTGTGAGATATCAGTCATGGTTGCACGTATGTCTTTGGATAATTCAGGCACTGTTTGCAGCTAAAGACTCCAAGTTTTCTGGCTCTGGCATGGAATATAACAACAAACCTGGTATTTGGAAGGGAGTTTTCTCTACCTGATCAGCTGGTGGCATCCCAGAAGTCATAGCTGAGGTAGGTCTTCAGGAGCAATATGAGAAAAAAGGAAGGTTTGGGGTCTTGAACCTAGAGAGCAAATTGCAAAGGCATTTGAGGGAAAAGCAGGGCAGAAGGGGCTGTAACTCCCAGCGTGTTTTGTTCCACTGCTGAGTGCAGCTGAGAATAAATTCCCCCCTCCCTGGCGCTGAGGCTTTCCCAGCTCCATCTGGTTTCATCGATTATGGTTGCTTTGCCTGCAAATCCATCCTGACATCCTCCTGGTCCTGGCAGCTCCCACCTGTGAGGGGCCAGCCCCTCACCTGGGGCGGATCTGCGCCAGTTGGGAGCCAGGAGCCAGCGCTGGGGTGCACAGGGACGTCCCCGTTGCAATCGATTTTGCACGGGGGAGGATGGAGCGGTGCAGTGACGGCTCACGGTGTGATGCTCTGAGTCAACCGAGACACGGTGGGCAGCCCGGGCTCTGTGTAGTGGTCAGACAGGGCGAGGACTTACCCTGGGTGTAAGTGTGTGGTCTCTTCATTGTTTAATTTTTATGAAAAAAAAGGTGTGTGAGGATTCTGCAACCGAGTCCGTTTCATCCCCTTGTTCTGTTACATTCGCTGCTGGGTCTCCAGGGTGTACCAAGGGATATCCGTGCTCTGGCTGGCTTTAGGTCAAAATTTTGAGTATCAAGCACTGATTTTTGTTAAAAGCAGTTAGTATTTTATTAGATTGAAATTTTCATTCCTATTTGG